ACGGCACCTGGGGCCTCGCGTCGTTGCTTGGCCGCGCAGGCTTCGCCAGATCCACTTCGGAGGCGCAGTCAACCTCCAGGATGGACCAGTTCTTTCGCTGAGTTCTCGGGACGCAAATCAGGCGGATCCCGTCAAGCGGGACCCCGCGTGGCATCTGGTCGGGCTAACGGCGGTTTGGCGCGTCGATGGCAACATAATGTGAAAATGTGCATATTCGTGTTCAGATCAGTGTGCATCTCGATTGTCTCTCAACTGTTAATACATGCGTATGTGTATGTACCACTTCGCCATCTAGCCAGCCGATAGCAGCCGGATCCATGACCTTCCTTCCTACGCGTCGAAAAGCAATACAAAGTCTACATCGTTGTTCTCTCAACATGGACGTTCCGTAGTCGATGCTCGAACTGTGCAGCAGAAGTTGGGCGCGGCGCACATCGCGCGCAAAAGGGCAAAGGAAGGGTCCGGTTCGGTTCGGTTCGGTTAGGTTCCGAAGTGGGTCTGGTTCGGTTCGGTTCGGTTCGGCGTCGGAATTTTCCGGTTCGGTTCGCTTCGGTTCGTCGTTGTCAGGGGTGCCGTCCGGCTCGGCCCGGTTCGCCGTGCGTTTCGCTCCGGTTCCGCCCGGTTCGCTGCGGAGGAGGCGGGGGAGGAACAGGACGAGGAGGAGCGGGACAAGGATTGGATGGGATGCCGGGGGGGGGTGCTGGGGGGGGGGGCCGGGGGGGGGGGGGGAGAGGGGGGTGCCGTGCCAGGAGGGGGGGTGCCAGGGAGGGGTGCTGGGTGGGGGGTGCAGGCAGGGATGGTGCAGGCAGGAGGTGCCGGGGGAAGGTGCCAGGGAGAGGGGTGCCGGGGAGGGGTGCCTCGAGGGGGGGGCGGGGGGAGTGCCGGGGGAGGGGTGCTGGGGAGGCGCCGGAAGGAGGTGCCTGGGGGGGCGGGAGGGGTGCTGGGGGGGGATGCAGCTTGGCAGCAGCCACCTAGGAGCTGGGAGCTTTCGCACCCTCAACCCGCCGATCCCCCTGTCATCGTCGTCTGGCGTCGTCGTCTAGGCGTTGCGCCCCTTCTGGTCTCAGCACACCTACGCCCCATCTATAGTTAATAATGAGATCCAACGTCGCCCAGCGGTTATCGCACATCCGCGCGCACGCGCGCGCGACAATCGCGACATCGACGCGCACGACGTGCATGTGTGTGTTGCTGTGCGCGCATTGCCTCGTCGCTCACGCGCGCTTTAGAGGATTGGTCACAAACACGAGCGCAAAACCAGAAATGTTTGTATATGTGGTTATGCCTATTCACATATACGACCAAACGATTGTATGTATGGGTAGTATACGTATACACATAGTATGGATATGCGTGTACGTATTGGTGGAAGTGGTTGTTTACACATATATATATATGTGTATATATGTATGTATGTATGTATGTATGTATGTATGTATGTATGGATGGATGGATGGATGGATGGATGGATGGATGGATGGATGGATGTATATATATATATATATATATATGGGTATGGTTGTACGTATGCGTGTAATACACACGTACATGTACACGTATACGTATACACATGCACACAGACTCACACACTTACACACGTCCACACCAGCATATACACATACACATACATATACACATACCTACACCTTACGTAGACATCCACATACACATACACATACACATACACGTACACACGCCTATACATATACATGTACAAAACCATCTACATATACATACTTACATATACACATTCATGTATACATACACATATACCAGATGTTACTGGCTCGTTTTCGCGACGCCTTTAAATCCATAGAGCTCATCGGGCTCAGGGGGCATATAGGATCATCGGGCTCATGAGCGCGCAGGGTTCCGAGGGCTCAGAAGGTTTATAGGGCCCATGCGGCTCATAGGGCTCATAAGTCATAAGGTTGCTCAAGGAGTCATGGGGCTCGTAGAGCTCGTAGGAACTCATAGGGATCATAGGCTCAGCTCATAGCCATCATAGGGCCCATAGGGCCCATGAGGCTCAGAATAGGGCTCATACGGTTCATGAGGGTCATGGGGCCCATAGGACGCATAAGGCAGATCGGTCTCATATAGGGCTCCTAGGGCCTAGGCCCAGAAGGCTGGCTCATCATGGGGTTCATAGGGCTCCGAAGGCTCAGAAGGGCCCAGGGGGCTCGTAGGTTTCATGGGGCCCATGAGGCTGGCCCATAAGGCCCAGAGGACTCAAGGCTCTCTAAGACCTCATGGGGTTCATAGGCTCACAGGGCCCGTGGGGCTCATAGGGCTCGCAGGGCGGCGCACAGGGCCCATGGGGCTCATGGGGCTGATGGCTCAAAAGGTTCACAGGGCTCATAGGGGTCATAAGGCTCATGGGGCTCACGCGGCCCTCAGGGCCCATGGGGCTCACAGGGCTCAAACATATTCACATACTCACACATGAATTGAAATACCTATACGACCACCCTTCGGGTGATAAGGAGGTCCGGGGGGGAGGCACCAACGGCTCACTCGATCGGTCTCACTATCGATCTTACGATCGATCTCACTATCGGTCTCGCTCGATCGATCTCACTCGATCGATCTCATAATCGATGTCACCCGATCTATTTCATTCGATCGATCTCACAATCGATATGACTATCTATCTCACAATCGGTCTCACTATCAATCCCACGTTCGATCTCACAATATACCTCACATTCGGTCTCACGATCGATACCATTATCGATATCACAATCGATCTCACGATCAACGTCATCATCATCGACATCAACGGCATCAACGCCATCAACATCATCATCGGGACACCATCATCACCATCTCATCACCATCAACATCATCATCATCACCATCATCATCACCATCATCCTCATCTTCGGGGCACCATCATCGTCACCATCATCATCATCAACATCATCATCATCATCATCGGGACACCATCATAATCATCACCAGGACACCACCAGCATCCTCATCACCTCATCACCATCATGAACAACATCGTCAACATCATATCATCATCAACATCATCATCATCGGGACACCATCATCAGCGTTACCATCACCAGCAGAATCATCATCGTCATCGAGGCACCATCATCATCATCAACAACATCAGCACCGTTATCATCGGGCCACCATCATCAAATCAGCATGGCCATCATCATCGTCATCATCTTCAATACCATCATCATCGGGACACCATCATCATCATCATCATCATCATCATCATCATCACTTCCATCAACATCAACAGCATCATCATTATGACCAACCTCATCATCACCATCGGGACACAATCATCATCATCATCATCTTCATCAGCATAACCTCCTCATCTCTTCATCATCAACATCATGATCATCATCATCGGGACACCATCATCAGCATGATCCGCATTTTCAACACCATCATCATCGGGACACCGTCATCATCACCACCATGGCCATCATCATCATCACCATCATCGGGACACCATCGTCGTCACCATCATCATCGTTAACATCATCATCATCGGGACACCATCATCATCGTCTCATGAACACCGGAACACCATCATCGTCATCATCGCATCATCATCATGAACATCATCATCAACATCCTTATCATTATCGGGACACCATTGTCGTCATCATCATCAGCAATAGCATCATCATCATCATCATCGTCACCGGCACACCATCAATATCGTCACCATCATCATCACCATGAGCATCATCGGGACACCGTCATCATCAACATCAGCATCATCATCCTCATCAGGCCACCACCATCAGAATCATCACCATCACCTCCTCATCATCTTCATCATCATCATTGAACACGATCATCGTCATCAGCATCAACATCATCATCGGGACACTACCATCCTCAACATCATCAACAACGGCATCATCATTAACCTCACTATCATCACTGGGGCACCATCATCATCATCATCATCATATTCACCATCATCATTTTATCATCAACAACATCATCAGGACCATCACCATCATCATTGTCATCATCATCGGGACACCATCATTATCATCAGCAGCAACATCAGCATCATGAACATCATCATCATTCGGACACCATCATCATTACCACCATGGCCATCATTTCCATCATCAGCATCACCATCAACACCGTCATCATCATCATCGGGACACCGACGGGACACCGGCGGGACACCGCGCGGCACCGGTTGCCGGAAGGGAGACTTTTGGTCCGGCCGCGCCTCAGCCAGAGGCGGGACATTTCTCGCCCGCCCACGCAGCTGCGCCTCGCACGCACGCACGGCACGCACGAACACGAAACCGAAACCGTTTTCCCGGTAGGGGGGCTCTCCGTCCCATTTCGATCTCACCCCCTCACCTCCGATACACACATATATATATATATGTATGCATGCATGTATGCATGTGTATTCATATGTATGTATGTACATACACATATCTAACATGTACATGAACTACGAGTGACATATCTAACATGTACATACATGCATACATACGCTGATTGGCGGCCAAGCAGGACTCGCACATCGGGAAGCACCATGCGATGGCGGAACTCGGCGCCGGTAAGATGGGCAATGCAAGACAAGACGTTGGCTGATGGTGCCAGAAGATGGTGGCCTCGCGCGCCGAACAGGGAACCAGAAAGGCCGAGCAAGAACACACCGATATCAGCGCTGATTGGCGGCCCCTGATATCAACCCCTGATGTCGCGCCCCTGATGTCTCGGCCGCGTCGCCCGCAGGCGGGGGCGCCGCGCGCCTGCCCGCAGGTGAAGGGGAAGGAGCCTCTCCGCCCGCTTGCGCGGGGGTGGCGGAGGAGAAGGAGAGGAGAGGGGGGAGAGGGAGGAGCGGGAGGCGGCGGATAAGGAGGAGGGAGGAGGAGGAGGAGGAGGAGGAGGAGGAGGGGAGAGGAGGAGAGAGGACGAGGAGGAGCAGTTAGCCTGAGAAGCGCATACACGCCAAGGAGTTCCGACGCAAAGGCCCGTATCTT